CCGCTGCTGAAGTGACAGAATGAACAAGCTGCACACAAAGCGAGGACAGACGCACCGAGTCACGGACCCAAACGTGTCGATGGCGTCTTCTAACGGGACACAAAGACACAAAAACAACCACAAAACAGTCGAATAAAGCCCCAAAACAGACACACAAAACCATTACAAGGAGCATCAAGACCAAAAAGATGCTAAACAACAACACAGAGTGTCACAACAGAGACGACAATCAGATGAAAAACTGACAAAAACACACAAAACTACTACAAACAGACGCAAAGCAGCCAAAGAAAGGCACAAAACAAACACACAAAGTGATTACAAGACATAAAAAGAACACAAAGGTGCAAAAGAAATGAAAGTAGAGACAAAAAAATGACCACAAAGACATACAAAAGGACCAAAAAGAGGCATCAAACTAACAAAAAGACACAAAATGACCACAACCAGATGTAAAACTGCCAAAAAGAGGCACAAAACAAACACACAAAACCATCCCAAGAAGCATCAAGACCAAAAAGATGCAAAACAACAGCTGAGAGACACAAAGCGATGCCAAATGAAACACACAAAGATTTAAAATGACCACAGAGGCTGACAAACCGACGACAACGACACGAGAAAAGACCACAGTGAGACAAAAACACCCGAAAGAGATGAAAATGACGACAACAAAATGCAAAACAGCAACAGAGCGACACAAAAAGGTCCCAAACCAACCAGAGAGACTCACAAAATGAACACATTAAGATGCAAAACCGGCAAAAAGAGACACAAAATAGTGAAAATAAAATGCAAACTGATGAGAAATGACCACGATGACGTAAAGATCAACCAGAGAGGTGCAAAACAACCACAGAGACGTGAAAACACAGAATGACAACAATAAGACTCCAAATCAACCAAAGACAACCAACAAAAAACAGCCACACACAATGGGGAAAAAGATTTATGCGAAGTAAGATGATCAAAAACACATGCAAAACACCAACAGAGAAGGAAACAAACCAAAATCTAACACAAAAAGACAATATTAGGATGAAAAACTAACAGAGCTTCAATCAAGACCAGCCTCGGTTCAAAAAACTGTCATTTTAAGGACTCATGAATGCGCCGTCTTGTATGTGATCATCCTGTAAGCTACACGCAGAAAAGAGGCGTGATTCAATTAAAAAACGACGGCAATGACTATAAATATACCTTGTTTGCTCAAATTTATGAAGCCGAAGTTATTAATAGGCTGTGTTGCTTTTGTAGAAGGTGTGAAGGATGTTTTATTTAAAGCCATGTCTTTGTAAACAGCTGAAATATCTTAAAAGGAGCGGATTGTAAACGGAGTTCGGTGTGCAGTGCTATAGTCCGTACTGGCAGGGACCAGGATGTAGAGGAACCGTTAATTTGGGTATTTCTAATAGAAGGATGTGTTGTGTTCTCTATGCCGAAGTTATCAGTATACTGTATTGATTATTCATGAGGTGTGAGTGATGCTTTAGGAAAGGACTAGTCTTTGTAAATAACTCAAACATCCTTAAACAGGCGGATTGTTAACGGAGTTCGGTGTGCAGTCCTCGCAGGGGACCAGGATGCAAAGGAAAGTTGCAGCTATAGAAATATATGTTGTTTTCTCTGTGCCGAAGTTATCAATGGACTCTACTGGTTTTCAAAAAAGGGTGAGTGATGTTTTATTAAAAGTGATGTCTCTGTAAATAACTAAGACATCATTAAAACGCGCGGACTGTTAAGGGACTTTGGTGTGCAGTCCAAAACCAGCAGGGACCAGGATGCAGAGGAACGGTTAAAAAAGGGCATTTTTAGAGGCAGATACTGAAATATACGTCGTTTGGTCTATGCCGAAGTTATCAGCAGACTAAATCAATTATACTCAAGGTGTGAACTATGTTTTACGAAAAGTTATATCTCTGTAAACAACTAAAATATCCTAAAACAGGCGGATTGTTAACGGAGGTTGGTGTGCAGTTCTCCTGGTCGGTAACAGCAGCAACCAGGATGAAGAGAACCAGTTTAAAACCGGTTTTAGTGGCTGTTAATTAAATATATAATGTTTGGACTAAGCCGAAGTTATCAATAGGCTGTACTGAGTTTCCAGAAGGTGCAAGTGATTTTTTATTAAAAGTTGAGTCTCCGTAAACATCTAAAATATGCTGAAAACGGGCGGATTGTTAACGGAGTCTGGTGTGCAGCCCTCCAGTTGGACCCATCAGGCTGCAGGACACAGCGGGACGGTTGCTAATCAGATTTTACTGAACATATCCGGCAGCAGGATTATAAAAGGATTTTTATTTCTGTGTTTGTGTGGAGAAGCGGACTTACAGCGATGCTGGGAACCGCAGTCTCTGGTCGCTCGATCATCGTGCTGCTGCCTGTCACCACCCAGCCTGCGACGGACGGAGCCTCGGCGACTCACCGAAAACCACGAAGCGGGCACAAACACGCAGCTTCGCCCGCAAACAAACCGCAGAGTGGCGCAAACAAAAGGCCGCGGAGAGCGTGTGATGGCCAATGAATGAGGTTAAATTACATATGGCCGCTGACGGACGCTGCTGGCAGATGGAGCTCCGCGAAGAAAAACGCTCCAGCGGCCGTTTGTTCTCGGCTGGAAAAAACACCGGAATTACAGGCGGCTGCATCCGCCGGAGACTTTCACAATAAGACCACATGTTGCGGATCAGATCTTGGAACTTTCTGATTTTTATTTTTGTTTTTTTAATCCAAAAACACTCTTTCTGGAAATGTCTGATTAAATCAAATGACAAAAAAACAAAATTACATTCAGAGATTTAAAACAAAAACACAAAAACGACAAAACATGACAGAAAATCAGGTCAAAACACATAAAATTATCTCACAGAGAGCACGGAAATGACAGAAAGATGAGTTATGACTAAAGATAATCCCAAAACAAACACAAAAAGACCAAAAGTGACCAAAACAAATGTGGTAAAGTGTATGTAAAAAGTAAAATAACCTCAGAGAAACACAAAACAAACCAAAAAAATCAGCAAAACAACTGCTATGACAGCAAAACTGACAGAGACACAAATTACCCTGAAGAGATGCAAAACAAACACACACAAAGACAAAAAGTGACAGAAATGTTGTCAAACACGCATGAAAGAACCAGGATGAGGGCAACAATGACAGAAATATGAAAAATGACCACAAAGAAACACAAAACAAACACAAAAAGACAAAAAGTGCTAAAAATAGTGAGGTAAAGTTTATGTAAAATGTAAAATGACCAAAGCAACAGCAGCAAAAACTACCACAAGAAGCTAAATTAGCAAAGAGACACAAAACAATCAAAACACAAAATGACCAAAAACAGCTGAAAAATGAACGTGGAGACACAAAATGACCACAACGAAAAGCAAAGCAAACACACAGAAAGACAAACGGTAACAAAAACGAGGTCAAAAACATGTAAAATAACCTCAGAGAGGACAGAAAGATTAAACGTGACCACAAAGGATCACAAAGCAAACACACAAGAGACAACAACCTGAAAACTGTTGTTGAGCTGCTTGTGAAACAAACAAGCACCAAAAGAGACAAAACTAAACAGAAAGAGACGCAAGAGACGCACAAAGAGATCCAAAACCAACAAAGACACAGAAAATAACTAAAAAGAAACATCAGAAGACACTGACAGACACACAAAGACATTTAAAACAATTATCAAAAGCAAAAAAAGAAAATAAAACTGATGCAAAACGACGACACGGTGACGAGAAATTACCACAAAGAGACAAAATTCAACCAACAAAAGACGCAAAACACCAACAGAGACACACAGACTGAAGTCACTGTGACAGAAATGGTCCTTTTGTGCGCACTGTTGCACAATTGAGCTTCAAATATGCACAAAAACTCCAAGCGTGCGTTTGTTCTGATTAAAAGCTTAACAGAGGCCGCAGCAGGTGAATATTTTGAAACTCCACCCACCTCACTTCCGCTCTGCTGCCTGCTGTTTGCGTTCAGCTTGACCAACCTGCGAGCGGCTCCGATCCGGTTTCCTATTGGACCAACTGATGGAGTGTGTGGCGCCTTCAGGGGCTGCGGGAGAAACCGTGCTGCGTTCACAGACCAACGTTCTGACACAGATGTCGTTGTTTCAGGTGTGAAGGTTCGCTTCATGACGAACAGAAGCCTGTAAATCAGATTTAATACCAGTTTAACGTCATCGTTCTTCGTCCTGGTCTGAGCAGAAGGTTTGTGCTGAATGGTTTTTCTTCAGTGTTTCTCAGCTTTAATCATGAATGAAATTCAGGAGACCGAAGTCTGAGCAATGTTTCCAGCTCGAAAGGCAAGCAGCTGAAAATGAAATCAAATCAAATAATTACACATAACAAGAACAAAGAGACACAAAACATGTCCAGAATGATGAAATAAGGCAAGAAATGACCACAAAGAGACACGAAATGGGTAAAAAAAGACAACAAATAACAACAAAGAGGCACTAAATAATTAAAACAGACTAAAAAAGAAACAGAATCACCACAAAAGAGACACAAATTGGGTACAAAGACGCACAAAATATCTAAAAGAGACACAAAAAAACAAAAGAAAAAACACAAAATGACCAGATAGAGACACAAAATAACAACAAAGAGGCACAAAACACGTCCAAAATGATAAAATAAGGCAAGAAATGACAGCAAAGACGCACAAAATAATTAAAACAGATGAAAAAGAAACAGAATCACTACAAAAAAGACACAAATGGACAATAAAGAGACAGATAGTGGTGACAAAGACACACAAAATGAGGAATCAACTGTCTCAGGGAGCTGTGGTGAGGATCCACAGCAGCAGCACGGCGCCACCTGCTGACCTGCAGCTGCATCAGCTCTGAACAGCTCAGAATCAGAATCAGCATCAGAAGCTTTTCATTGCCCAGCGAGTTCTCACACACAAGGAATCTGCCGTGATGAGTGAGTCTGGGGCGTCACAGTAACAAGACAAGTCAAAAGTATAAAAGTACTACGTAGATCAAAAGTACTATGAGAGCAGAAATAAGCCACCTGGTAAACTAGGAAACAGTTCAAGTACGATACAGTATTGCACATGAAGCTGAAGGATTTACAGAAGAAGCTGCTCCGGTGCCGGGATGTTCTGGTGCTTAGAGACCCGAAGCAGCAGGTCACAGAGGTGGTGACCTGGGTGGGAGGAGTCGGAGAGACTTTTCCTGCCCTTTTCCTCACTCTGGAGGAGTACAGGTCCTGGAGGGAGGGCAGGGGGGCACCCATGATCCTCTCAGTGGTCCTGACTGTCTGTTGCAGTCTCCTCATGTCTGATCTGGCAGCAGAACCGAACCAGACAGTTAAAGACGAGCACAGGCCAGACTCAGTGACTGCTGAGTAGAACTGAGTAGAACTGTTTCAGCAGCTCCTGTGGCAGGTTGAACTTCCTCAGCTGGTGGAGGAAGTTCAGTCTCTGTTGGGTCTTCTTCACCACAGAGTCTATGTGGGTCTCCCATCTCCGGTCCTGGGAGATGGTCGTGCCCAGGAACCTGAAGGACTCCACAGCAGGCACAGTGCTGTTCAGGATGCTGAGGGGGAGGGGTGCAGGGGGGTTCCTCCTGAAGTCCACCATCATCTCCACTGTTCTGAGCGTGTTCAGCTCCAAGTTGTTGTGACTGCAGCAGACAGCCAGCTGCTCCGCCTCCTCTCTGTAGGCATCACCGTCCTGGATGAGCCCAACAACAGTGGTATCGTCTGTGAACTTCAGGAGCTTCACAGAGGGCTGTGAGGAGGTGCAGTCACAGCTCACAGTTAATAACAAAAATCAGAAGGAAGGTCTCAGAGGAAGTGAACTTTTTTCAACCTGCGACAAATAGCACAGCGAGAAGTATCATATACACAGTATGTGAGTTTATACATGAGTACACACGAGAGTGTGTTCATGAGTGCACACGAGCATATTTAGTCTGAAGTCTTCTTTTCGATTTATCATCATTTTGATTAGTTTCACAAACAGTCATACCTGGTGTACCGCGCAGTGAAATGTTTTGTGCACCTGTTCCACCCCGAAACAACGTTAAAAAGATGAAGAAGAATGAAGAATAAACACACAAGAAATATACATATATATACATATATACATATATCCATCCATCATCTCTACACCTTCATCCTCACCAGGGTCATGGGGGGCTGGAGTCTATCCCAGCTGACTCAGGGTGAAGGCAGGTTCACCTGGACAGGTAACCAGTCTATCACAGGGCTACACTTAGAGACAGACAACCAAGCACACTCACATTCACACCTACGGACAATTTACAATCACCAATTAACCTCAGCATGTTTCTGGACTGTGGGAGGAAGCCGGAGAACCCGGAGAGAACCCACGCTGCACGGGGAGAACATGGAGACTCCACGCAGGAAGATCCCGGGTGTCCTCACCGGGACGCCAACCGGCGACCGTCTAGCTGTGAGGCCACGGTGCTAACCACCGATCCACCTGCAGCCACATTGATAATGTGCAAAACAGAATTCTGACAATCGTCCAGCAGTTCACAAACCAGTTTTATTGAAGCCGACAGCCTGCAGCTCTGAACTGAAGCAACGATCAGCTGCTCTACCAGCTTATTCCTGAGGAGAACAAAAACGTACGACTTCCTGACAAACTCTGCACACAAACTGTTTATATTAACATATTCAGGATGAAGAACAATTTTCTTTTATGTACACACAATGATCATCATGGATTTTAAACCTTTTCATGTTCAGCAACACATCAAGCTACAAAACCTGCTCATCTATCAAACAGCGCTCCATGGCGGGTCGAGCCCTCTGCTCAGCACAGCTCCAGGTAAAACCTCGAGCTGATCACTGACGGATTCTCCGGTTGTTGCTCAGGGCCTCCGTCAGTCTGCTCTGCATGATCTCCTTGGTGGAGTACAGAGGCAGCTCCAGCACCGAGCTGCACGTGTGCGTCTCAGGATAATATCGGTCGTGGTCGAGGTTCTGGACGTATCTTTGTCTGATGATCATCGTGATCTTGTCCTTCCCGAGGATGGGCACCTGTTCAAACCCCGTCACAAACCCTGGCGGAGGGAGAAAGTCGGAGTTATTGAGGAACGTAATGCAACAAAAGTCAGTAACCTTCCATTACTCATGTGATTTCATTGTCAGTTCTTTATTTTGAGTGACAACACTCATCAAAAGCACCAGAGATTCTTCAGACGACTCTTCAGCTCTTTGTTGGAGGGTTACGTTGCTCCATCATAAAAACACCCCAAAGGTGTTCAACTGGATTCAAGTGGGACCACATACTTCTGTTTGTGTGAGTCTGTGTTTGTGACATTCATGGAGCTTCTAGAAACATCACCAACACCTTCTGCCCTCATGCAGCCCCACATCATGATGCTCCACCTCCGTGCTTCACTGTCAGGACCATGCATCCACTGTGGTGGTCCTGGTCAGGTTCACACCAAACATCTGGACTCCATCTGATCATTTATTTGTTTTATCATCCTTGAATTTTCTCTTTAAAATACCCCCACAAGACAAACAAATACTCAGTATCTTAACTTTCCACGTCTGTGTTTTGCGACTATCCGACTGAAGTGATCTGAGGCGATACAACAATGCTGGCTCTGCTCTCTATGTTAAAGTCAGGAACAATACTCACAGAGGAAAGCCTTCTTCTGATTCTCACTGAGTTCTTCAAAAACCTCCCAGAACATCTGGACAGTGGGGTAGTTGGCGTGGAACTCCCCCTCATACCTGGTGTTCTAATCCCAGAGAAACAGACCATTACGAAGACGTAGAATGTTCACAGCAAGCACACGAGATTGTGATAAATCAGGGAAAATGAAACCACCAGGAGCTCTTGTTCTGGACCCTACCTGCTTCAGCTTCTTCCAGTCCTGGAAGTGTTTGCCCACCATCACCTCCTGCAGCTCCTTCGGCCTGAACAGCTTCACCAGATCCCGCTCACACACCTGGAAGAAGCCTCGTCTGAACGCCTGGAACGCCGGCTCCACCGATGTGTTGAAGGCGTGATTCACGTAGGCCTCCACGAACTCCCTCCTGCTCAACAGAAAGACGCAGTAGAAGAACAAGGAGGTCCAAACATCATCAGCTGCTCTTTATCTAAACAGTCGAGTGGAGCTGGTGTCAAGTCAGACACAGTTCAGGAAGTGTGCTGCTGCACATGTCTGTGAAGATTCTCAGTCATCCAGGTCATGGTTCTTCTCGTAGATTAATCGTAGCAACTGGACCTGCTTAAGTTCCTTGAAGA